TATACTAAAAGATCACAACAATCTGACTCTTAATGAAGTTTTCACCAAACAATCATGGCTACATACATCGTAAGAAGAGGATCTGTAGGCCCAGGGCCGCAGATATTACACGTCCAGATAACAAGAAATTAGTTCAAGTTCAAAGTCAACTTTATTGTCAATTTCAAAATGTGCCAGACATGCAGTGGAATCGAAATTGCGTTTGTCTCCGTCCCGCGGTGCAATACAACCAAAATAAGGTAAAATAAGATCAAATAAAATAATGTAAAATAAGATCAAATAAAATAATGTAAAATAAGATCAAATAAAATAATGTAAAATAAGATCAAATAAAATAAAACAGATCAAATAAAATAATGTAAAATAAGATCAAATAAGATAAAACAGATCAAATAAAATAAGGTAAAAATGGATAAAATAAAATAAGGTAAAATAGTTAAAATAAAATAAAATAAGGTAAAATAAGATAAAATAAAATAAGATCAAATAGATAAAATAAAATAAGGTAAAATAAGATAAAATAAAATAAAATAGATAAAATAAAATAAGATAAAATAAAATAAAATAAAATAAGGTAAAATAAGATAAATAATATTTACAGTAATAAATTCTAAATAGTGCAAAAGGAACAAAGCAAAATGGTAAATAAAATAAAATTTAAAGAAAAGTCAACTTGAAATGTGCAATATGTGCAATGTGCAGAAAACTGAGTGTACTTCATTGAGCAGCCTTAATTTCAGTGCATCCTATAGGCCCTCAAACACAGACACCTAGAGTGATTTATAACACAGGTGCACAGGTACAAAGATATTTAAGGCTGCTAATTCTGTAGATGAGGACCCAACTCTAAACCACAAAAAAAAAAAAAAAAACGCCATTTAAGCATCAGACAGACAGAATGGCTCCCTGTCACAGACTAATCCTCTGCACACCTCCTGCATTATAAGCCCCGCTGCTCTCTTTCTAGTCGCCATCCAGCCATAATGACACATCGACCAACTGGTGACATCTTCTTCTTTTTTTTTTACGTGCAGAACAGAAAGACACCTGACCAGGGCGTCACAAAAAAAAAAAACGACGAGGGAGGGAGGGAAGAAAAATGGGAGTAACACCTGCCTCCTTGCAGATAAATAGGCTCTTATTAATAAGCATGCATATCTAAGTGGGGGTGCATTGTGTGTGTGTGTGTGTGTGTGTGTGTGTGTGTGTGTGTGTGTGTGTGTGTAGCATGCAACAACAATAACAAACGCGCCCTCCCTCCTTGTACGTGCACCCATAGGAGGCATGTGTCCACACCATGGCTGTCACATGCAAAAGCCGATTTAAAATCCGCTCACATTTACCTGTCTGCGGCGGCGGCGGCCTCTTCTTCTTCTTCTTCTTCTTCTCTGGCTTATTTAAAGGTCTCTTCTCCGCCGCTCTGCATTTCATTCCTGATCGTCCATGTTTCGCGTTTGCAGCGTTTTCTGCCCGGATGGATTGATGGATGGAGGGATGGAGAAGAGGTGGAGGAGGAGGAGGAGGAGGAGGAGGAGGAAGAGGAGGAGGCGGTGAGGAGCGGAAGCCTTTGAAGTGAGGAAATCTGGGTCCCTGCTCGCAACCCAGCTGCGTGGTCTGGATTTATGTCGTTTCCAAGGCAGCGTCCGTCGAGCGCACCGAGCGTCAAGCTGAGGCCTGTTGAGCCTGTAGTAAAAAAAAAAAAAAAAACGACTTCCGGTTTTGATTTCAAAACAAAAGTCTCGAAACATCGACATTTCACAACTGACAAGAAATGGGAACATTTTAAAAAAAGGAGGTTGAATGACAGTTCATTTTCATATACACTGCTTGTCATGTCACTTTTGCCTTTGTATTTTATTTGTAATTTGTCTTTCTCTGTTACCTGCCTTGGGACAACAGATGGAAACTAGCACTTCTGCTATAATCTGGCATTTTTACTGTTCATTAATATGCACTGTCTCTAACAAATAAATAAAATTTAAAAAAAGTATATTAAATAAAATAAAATATAATATTAAATATATTAAATGATAAAAATATAATAGTAAATATATTAAATGATAAAAATATAATAGTAAATATATTAAATATTAAAAAATACAAATATAATATTAGAAATATGAAATATATGAAATATGAAATAAAAAATAAATATCCAAATAATTTATTTTAATTCTACCATACAAATTATTTTGATTTAAGTGTCAAAAACAGGAGTTAAAAGAGCCCTATTTTTTATTATTATTATTATTATTATTATTATTATTATTATTATTTTAAAAATTTTAAGATGTAGAAATTAATTTTAAAAAAATATATTTTATTTATTATTATTATTATTATTATTATTATTGTTTATATTTTAATATGTAGAAATTAATTTAAATTGTATTTTCTTTATTTTTTATTATTATTATTATTATATATTTTTTAAATATTTCAATATGTAGAAATCAATTTAATTTATTCTTTTAAGATTTATTTCAGGCTGTTTACCTGACATGACTTTATTTCAGCAAGGTACAACAAATACTATCGCTTGTAATAAACCTCTCTCCAAATGACTACTATTTTTTAGGCTTTGTACATTATTACTTTCAGCTATTTGTTAAAAACCACAGTATTGGTGTAGAGTGACTTTATATTGAACGTTAAATATCCTGACTGTTCGTACCTCTCGTCGTACCTCTCTCTAGCTTGACGCCGCCGTCGGCTCAAACGGACCAGGCAGGGAGCTGCAGCAGCAGATGGGTGGAACGGCGCATGCGCCCCCGAAGTTTCCCGGTGATAGCCGAGACCACCACCCACTCGTAAGAGCAGCATCCATTGGGTGAGCGGGCGGAGGCAGAGCCGTCGCTGCGGGCCTGTGGGAGTACGAGACTTAAAACACTCTGGGTGTTTTAATTTATGGTCTGTAAGCGAAACAGTCGCCGCCAGATATTTTTCAGTAATATTAAAAGCCAAAGACGTTTTAATGCAGTAATTTCACACATGAATAAATGGAGATTATAACCAAGAACAACAGACAAGTTTACTTTTTGTCACGTTATTTTAATAGTAAAGGATCTTGAACATGTTTGTAAATGTGTATGGATGTAACTAAAATGTTCTTCTTGTTATTTAAAATTTAAAACATTGAACATTTGTTGAGTAATACGCATTTTGAGTTGGAGGGAAGGTCCTCGATTCTGACATTAAAAGCTTGCAGGTGAAGTGTTGAAATATAGCGATTACATCAAATGGTCATGTCGCTGGAATTTTTTATTTACTCTTATAAATGTATAAATACCAATTTATGATTTCATTTTCCAGCATTAAAGGCTGAGGTTAAAATAAATCTAGTACATTTGTGCAAAAAAAACCCCAAACAAATGAAATACCTATTTTTTTAGACTTATAATTTGGCAGAACAGAAGGCTTTTACTTTTTTAACGGCTTGAGATGCACAATCATCTTAAAAACAACAGAAATCTCCAATCATAACAGTGACTCTCGGGGCGCTGGTGGCTGAGTGGTCAGTTTGTGCGCCCCATGTACAGAGGCTGTAGTCCTCAAAGTGGACTGCCCGGGTTTGAATCCGACCTTTGGCTCCTTTCCTCTCTCTCGCTCTTTCCCTGGTTTCTTGCTCTATCCGCTGTCCTGTCTCTCCAATAAAGGCGCAAAAAAGCTCTGGGTTAATTTTAATAACTAATGCAGTAAATACTAAATCTAGTCTTCCATCTATATCAACATTTTGACCATCGTGTGGACCTAAGTCTCTGTGACTAAAACTGTACTTCAGAGATAGATGCTGATGTTTTGCAGTTCGCCTCTGGGCGGCGCTGTTGCTATGTGTTTGACACAAGAAGGATCTCCTGCAGGGTTCAGCCTCCTCAGAGACTGTCGCTGTCCATGGTGCTGAATTAAAATAGATGCTCATGAGAACTATATCCGTGGTGCTGATGAAGACTTTCAACAACGTCCACCTCTGTAACGGATTTAAAGATCACTTCTAACTCTACTACAGCTTTTACTGCTAAACTGTGCAGCTTCTATACATTTAACACTTTACCTGTCATCAGGCTGGTCAGGTCAGTCATCGTCAAAGGCAGAACCAATTTGGCCTTTAACAAAAAAAACAACTTACATTTAGTGTTCAATAAAACAGTCACCTGGTGCTTCTTGTTATTTGTAGTATCATTGGAAATGTTGTGTGCTTTGTGGAAGCACACTTTTAAATGCGATAGTATGCTATGTGCTTCCCCTTTGTGGCTGTCTGTGGTCATTACATGTGGTTGTTAAGTTCTGTTGAACTGCAGGGCAATGGCTCGTTGCCTTTAGAGGGTGCAATGAGAAATGTATAGGCTAACCTTTATTGATCCATTTCTGCAGAAAACTTGTCTTATAAGTAGCATATCTGATGAATATTTATAAAGCACATTTTTACAACGAAACTGAAGTGCGAGAATAAAGATCTAAAAGACATGTCAGCACGTGACGTCACAGGTATTGCATATTATTAAATTTTGCTAATTGCTCATGCTTCTAACCTGATTCTTAAGCAGCTGGACACATGTTGCACTGTGAAAAAAATAAAAAATCCACGTAAAATTCACGGTAAAATACTGGCAGTTGTGGTTGCCAGAAATTTACCTTAAAAAAGACGGTGACAATGTATAAGACATTTGGGCAACCGTAAATTTTACGGTAGACAACTGTTATTTGTTATTTGATGGTTTGTTTACGGTAAATTACTATGAAAATAACATTAGTTATAGTATAGTTTTCTTATAAACCATTATACAGTCTATCTCAGTAATAAACACAGTAAAACTGTAATACAGTACTTTTTTGAAACTACTTCAATTTAACGGTAAATTACTGCAATGCGATTCTAACTTGATAAGGAGCCACAGTCCAGATTCGAACCTGGGTCGCCCGCTTCAAGGGCTACAGCCTCTGTACATGCGGCACACAAACTAAGCAGTCAGCTTCTGGTGCTTTGCTTCAGCTTCTAAAGAATCAGCTGTTTTAGAGACCTGACTCTGAGAGTCTGGTCCATTGTGGGCAGATGTAAGATGGGCATTAAAGTTAAAATGCAAATATGACAATTGTCCACACATTAGAATAATATTTTAATAAATAAATAGCAGCATCACACAGAAAAAAAAGAAAAATATACATTGTGTGGATGATGGCAGAATTATTGTATAAACTCAAGAAAGATATGTCGTAGACAAACATTCACAATTAAAATGGTATAAAAAAAACAGCCACTGCATAACATACAAAAAAAAATAAAAGAGAGATAATGCCAACCAATGAGCGTTGGATCAGACAAGAGCGAGACAAACCAGACAACCCCATCCGCGTCAATGCACATGAGCATCGGATGGTTCAAGAGTCAAGAGTCCAATGTGGGGATTTGCCAAACTCTTGAACAAGCTGCGGCTCTGGCTGTAATTCTGAGAGAGGCGTTTAGTGACAGAGTTTCAGGGTTTGGGAAGAAAAGTGAGACGGATGAGTCAATGGCGTCTTTAGGTACCCTAGGTTTGTATGAAAACGTTTGATGGCCATGGCTCCAATTGTTTGAGCTCAAATATCTCATTCAGGAAGTTAGAGCATTTTTAAATGTACTACAGTATTTCTCTCAAGCTGTTCCTACCCCCACACGTTACCCTGGCAACCAACAACAAATAGTCCTGGATGTTGAAAGAGTCCAAACGAGCCCTCCTTAAATCCAATAAGATAAAACTCTGTCAATAAACGGCTCAAACTATTTCTACACACACCAGACCTGGATCGAATTATTAGCAGAAATTCTTTCAGACACCTTCACTGAGTGATTGCTTTCATCTGTCTGGACCCCCGAAGCCGGAACAGGATTGGCATCTACGGGGGACGACCCCACTGATTCAATCCATTGCGCCAGACACGATCGATAAAAAACCCCAAGAAAAGTTACTAAATCAATCTCAGATGGCAATTTTGAGCCAGGTCTGGTAGACACACACAGCAACAACACGGGGGGAACATGTAATTATTACATTGCGACATACTGAGTTGGCTGGCCCCGGCTGTAGCTCTTTGCTCGCACCACACCTGGATGGACGGATCAAATCAGGCGACCCGTTTGAAAAAAACGTTCAGAGAGTCCTCTCTTCTCCATTTTGTCCTCTGATTTTTTTGTTTTGTTCCTGTTGGGATTCTTTCATTCTCATAAAAGATTAAATGACTGCAGTGTGCAATATGCATTCTGTCGATTGCCCTGCGTTTGTTCTCTCTCTCCTGCTCTGTTTTATTCCTTCAAGAAAACAAAAAAAAGTGAGGCAGAGAGGACCTTTTTGAACGTCGCTTCAAACATGCATGATATTTGTAGGCCAAGCCGTGGTTGCCGGCTCGTCGACATTAGCTCATGTAGACCTCTCTTTGTGGAGAGAGAAGTGGTGCAAAGGACCACTGTGTGAGCCTGTAGCATACAAATAGTGGATCAATTATACAGAGAGGCATTGAATCAGAATGAAGCGACTCCCGGTTGTTTTGTTTCATTCTAATTGAATGCAGAGGCGGCTGCAGACCTCAGGCTTTGAATTCTATTGGTCCACCGCAGGCTTTTGACGTTTGCTTTTTGACCTCAAATGGGAGATGATGGGTAAAAAAAGTGTTGTACATTCAGGTGCTGGTAGTTCTTTGATGTCCTAAATCTGAAAGAATTATTACCAAAATGATCAATTGATCACTGGGGAGGATTCCATTTTTTTGTTTTATAGCTTAGTTAGGAAGAGACACAAACACATCAAATATGTCATTCAATCTTTTTTTTTTTTTTTTGCAATTAAAGGGCACTCCATAAAAAAAAATCATGTTGCATTCCATTAAGTGTCGGGACTAAAACAAATAAACTCAACAGAGATTCGTCAAAATCAAAGCAGTTGAAGGCGGGGATATCCTGTCTTTTTAAGGTTTAGCATGCGTACATCTCCAAAAGCACTACAATTCCCATAATGCATTTTGAAAGCATCTTTCAGTATCATAGTATCATCGGGCTGCATTCTAAATGCATCCTTAAAGGCTTTATATGCGATTTTTTGATCCAGCAGATGTCGCCAGCATGAAACCAAAACAACTCTCAGTGCATTGTAGTGTTAGCATGCTAATGCTAGCGATCTTTATTATGCTGGTATCTTCACACTGCATGTAAATTTACCTGAAATGAGCGTGATCTAGAAACACAGTTAGGCAGTGAGTACAATATATTATTCTTCTTTTCTCTAGTCCCTCTATTAAACAACTTTTATTCGCGAGGGGATGAGTTGGCCGGCCGTCCCGGCGATGTAAACAAAGTGAAGATAGGACTCTGAAAACTCTGAAAACATCACAGACAGTGGGACTCAGGTGTTACACCCATTGTAGACAGTCATGACTCACAGAGTTATTTTCGCATATAAAGCATTTAAGAAGGAGCTGATAAAAATAATAGTTTCTCGCTGACATACCCCCTGATGACATCATGACTTCAAATGAGTTAACCACTAGAGTCAAAAATAACCTCAGAGAAACCCATCATGACGAAAACACCCTGAAGACTTCAGCACAGAAACTAAGACAACCCAGATGACCTCACTGTTCAAGCCAAGATAACCCCAATGATCTCCCAATCCTAATTAGATGTTGGACGATTGAGCTGAATCTGAAAGGAAAGTTGGTTGGGTTTCTCTTTTTTAAGTGATCTCTTAATTGACTTGTATGTATTTCACTTTTAACCATTTACCTCTATTGAACTTTCATGACATAGCAAATCACTGTATGCCGACGAATTCCAATTATATCTTCCTAAAGGATTTCTTAACTCTGGTGGTTGAGAAGTGAAAAAATACTGCAACAGCCCAAATTAATTTCCATTTGAGGAAATAGACTGCAAATTCAGAACAAATGAATTAAGAATTGTGTATCGTATCGTACCGTATTTTATCATATAGTGTGGTGTCGTAGCATAGGTTTGCTGTTCATACTTGTATTTGGGGCTTTTGGCTTCTTTCCATCCTGATTGGACTTTTCCATACTCTCTGAATTTGCATCTCCTGAATTGAAATCATTTGGGATGATGCAGCATGGTTGAACTTGTTTGTCTATGAAGGTATCCACACATTTAATGATTTTTCTAAAGCACTACATTGCAGTTATTTTTGGCTGATAGAGACGCAGTGTGGAGGCATCAGACGGCCTGTCAAGACATCGATGAATGTGAGAGGGAGGAAGGCAAAAAAAAATATTAAAAAAAATCAGTGACCGAGTTGAGAGGCCTGCTGACCCGTCTTGATAGAGTCAGGGGTCTGTCTCATAGTCTATCGATTTCCTGTCTGTTTCATGCGACTGATGGAATCTTACGACATAAGCTGAACCAATTGTAGAGCGGTCGGACATTAAAGAGTCTGACTTAGATGTCAGAGGTCAAAATGACAATTATTTTTGACACGTTGGACAGGTTTCCATCCTTGAAACCATCAGCAAAGGCCCTCACATGTAAAAGTCTATATTTAAACCCAACGCTCATTGCCTAAATTTGAACATTCTCTTGTCTGGCTTTCAGCATTTTATTTTGAAGGAAATTTGCCCTACAGAGCTTGATAAATAAACAACACAAACAAAGGGTTTTTTTTGGAGAGAAAAGAACTGAACTAATGGCTGACCATGCATAGAGAACTTTCTATTCCAGTCGTCAAAGAAATTACCCTTTAGAGGCGATGCTATGAATCTTAAACGGCCCTCTTTCTGCCCTCAGATGATGCAAAATATTCCAAGATGTTAGCTGATAATATGACATGTATATCAAGTAGGCTGATAACTGTTGGATGGACGATTAACAGGCTGTGGGCTGATGTCTTAACTTCTCTTTTCTGCTTCATTACTGTGATTGATTCACTGCATGTGGTGGAATTAAGGAAGAGCTGCTTGGGCACATTTCAGTGTCTCATTCTTGGTGAGAAAATGTGGCTTTTATGATTTTCTGGGATTTGTTAATTAATTTCTTTTGGGGGGGAAATAAAGCGTTCATTGTAACATGAGAAAAAAAAAAACTTGGACCTTCATTTTGGTTTAAGGGGTAAATGTGCAACAATGAAAGCTAATCGATAAAACTAACATTAATAACCAAACGTCATAAATCTATATTTTTTCCCCTTAAAAGAATGACATCTTAGGAACATTTGTGCACCCTTACATTACAAACTTCACATCTAATTTTCAACATGACTACTAAGAGATTTCTCCCTCTTATTTCAGACTTTGTTTTCAGTAGAAACCTTTCGATTTTGGGACTCTGATTCGATGTTTTTGGTCAAAACAAGCAAGAGCCAGACGAGGTGTATTGGACCAAAAGGCCTGCGCCATTTTTTTCCTCTCTTTATTTTTATTTTTTTAGCTCTTTAAAACCCCCTTGTTCAATGCAAAGGGGATGCAACCTATCTGTGTGTCATGCCACCACCAGATGGCACTGTGAGTCCACCCGAGACCCGGTGGTCGTACATTCCTTCATCTCTCAGTCCTCTGCAGACAAACTTTTAGACTGCAGCCTTGAGAAAGTTTTCCTCTCGAGAAAAAAAGAAAACTCATTTCTGTCGGTTGAATAGTTTGATTATACATGCTGGAAAGGTTCATTCAGATATATATTTTTAGGACCGTTAATGTCAAGCTTGACCCGGCACAAAAATAGATTTTGGTTTGGTTTTGCTTGGTGCGGAGTCTTGGACTGGAGGCTTGAAGTTATAGTTTGACTCCATTTAGACCTCATCACTCTGTAACCTGCATCATTAGGACTCTATCGAGGGCCTTTGACTTCATCCCAGGTCAACAATGAGACTAAGTTCTTTTGGATTTCTGCTGAAGTCCATCTCATTCTGTTCCCTCAGAGCACCTGTTCGCCTTTTTTTTTTGTGTAAAAACCAACAATTTGACCCCAAGTAATTGGTGGTTTTCCCTCCAATTGGTCGACTTGGGATTAGGTTCCCATCCTCCATCCTGTGCCAATAATCACCAACTAAAAAAACTCATCATCGGCAAATTTCCTCTTGGCCCAGAATCTGCAGGTTTTCAAATAGAAGATGTAGCTCAAACTAAAAAAAAGTACAGTCACACGCTGCTTGTGTGTTCTCTGGAGGCGGGGCTGTAGCTGATGAGTGACAGCTCCTGCTCCACCTCCGTTTCCGGCTCCGTTTCCGAAAGCATCCCAATGTTGTGGCACTCGGAGAGGCTTTGTGTCACTGTTCCGATTTGTGTCCCGTCGTCGTCCGTCATGTCGTCCGGGTCCACCGCCAGCCTCCCGTTGTCCCCCCTGCCGCCGTTCCGACAGTTACTGTTGCGGTCCATGCCCGCTTTCCCATGACCGCCCATCAGGAGAGGAGTCACGGACTGGGACGGGCACGGCGGGGACACCAGGAGGGTTTTGCAACTCTGCCCCGCTGCATTGGCCCCCGCCTTGTACCGGCACCGGATGTAGCTGGAGAACGCTCTCCTGTAGGTCTTGTTGAAGAGGGTGTAGACCAGAGGGTTGACCCCCGAGGAGATGTAGCCCACCCACACGAAGACGTTGAGGAGGTCGTTGAGCAGCGACTCGTTGCAGGAGCCCCGGCACAGGACGAAGGTGACGTTGGTGATGAAGAAGGGACACCACATGATGAGGAAGAGGAAGAAGACGATCCCTAAGACCTGTAAAAGTAAAGAAGAAAAAACAAAATGGATAACGATGGAAGAAGTTCAGATAAGATCACATAGATTGATGTTCTTTAATATCTTTTTTTAAGTGTACCGTTCCGACTGGGATTTTAAATTTTTGATATAGATATGAAAGTGCTTTGGTCTTCATCTAGCATTCATGTGAAAGCCGATGCGGATCACCCACTGTGCCCTCTTCCACTCCTGCTTCATATCTTTTGACGCTGCTAGAAGCGCCTTTTTCAGAGGAGATGTTTCAAACTCGGTTAAAAAAGTCTGGGGGTTTCTTTGAAGAAAATGTCTTCAAAAACAGCCGTATGAATACCATTAGCTGGTTAACAAATCAACTGGTATTGGTGCAAGCCTTAAATATAAACATAAGGAAATATAAGAGCAATATGAAGCACACTGGAAGTTTGATTCCCTTTGAAGAAACATATTCTAAAGCTGTAGTCATTGCTTTCTTATGTAAACTGTTAGCAGCTTAAAAAGACTGTAATGTGCAAAGTGTTAGTACGCTGATGATCCCCAGTCGTGCAGCTCTGGGAAACCTTATAGAGCAGTAACACCACATGCCTTAAGAGACCTGAAACGACTTTACCTTAAATCACCCGATAAGCACTGGGCTGTAACTCTCAGCTCTTAACTCTCACCTTGGAGGCCCGCCTCTCGTTCTTTATGGCCTGCATCATCCCCCGCCGCCCACTGCAACCTGCGGCGTCGCTCCGCGAAGGCCCCGCTACTGGTGAGCTGAGCTGAGACGCCACTTCAGAGCTGGGGATGATGCTGAGGCTGTCTGGCGTGGAGACGCTGAGCAGCATGACGGGCTCTGCGCCTTTAAGACAGCTTAAGGTGTTCCTTCTGCTCTGGAGAGGCGGGGGCTTTAGCTCTGTGGGAGAGGCAAATATAGAGTCAAGGATATAGGGGTGCAAGTAGATCAGACTTTTCTGTTGTCAGTAGGACTCCTTCCAACTTGGTTACCACATCAGATTATTTAACAAACAGTATGGTTAGCCCCGTTTTAAAGACTTGTCTTGGGATTACATTTGTTATGAGTTGACACTATACAAATAAAGATTGAGATGATTGGTTGAAAAAATGCTGCAGATTTTTTCCCTGAAACAACAATTATGTGAGTTTTCTTTTTAAACAGGGTTTTTTTTTTAAGGAATATGTACTTTGAGCAGAGGCGTCATGCCCATTTAAAGTATGGAAGATATTTGGCAAATAAGCTATGAAAAAATTACCGATTAGGATGAGAGTCATTTTGCTTGGATTTTCAGACTGATCAAGAAATAATACCCATTTTGCCTTTTGAGTATAACTGTTTAAAAATGCAGAAAATGTTATAATTCTTCCCATTTTTTTTCTGAAATGGGCCCCTTGACCCCACTTTAACTTAGCCCCCCTCATCCCAGAATTTTGGCTTGCATGACGCCCCTGACCTTGAGGAATAACTTTTGCCAATAAAATATTAAGCCTATAACTGTCAATTTTGCCAGCTAGCTATTAGATGGTTCTTTTTTCGTTACCCATGACCCCGGAAACTGCTAATAGTGTGCTCCTTAAACAGATAACATCACCATCCAATCACTTCCAAGCTAGCATTTCTCAAGAGTGGAAAACACAAACAGAAAATCAGTCATGCTGTTTGAGCAACTTATTTGTTTAATTTAGTTTTCTCTAAAGCTTGTGGAGAGATTAAAACTCCTGAATGAGAAGAGAAAGATAAAATACCAACATAAGGCACTTCAGAAGGGTTATTAAAAACCAACGCCAATAATTGTTTTTCCCTCCATTCGACAGTAAAACAAACATATGGGTATTTCTGACTCCTTGATTAAAAGTGATTTTTTTTTTACCTTCTGAGTCTGAAGGAGCAAGTGTGTTGATCTGAGGAATGCTGAAGGTGCTGGTAGGCGGTTTTAAAGTATTTGACATTGCTGGTGTGTGCAAAGGCTGCTGGGAGGAGGTTTTCGATTCGCACAGGAAGACAGTGGCCTGCCTCTGAAGCACCTGGGGAGCAAAGAGAACGAAGAAAAAAGGAGCAGGAAGAGGAAGCGCTTATTATTGTGAGAAGAAAAAATAAAGTTTAACAGAGGATAAAAAAGTGTTTGGAGGGCGCAGACGGCCTCGACTACCTGAATGGTGAGGCAGTATGTCACCACCATTATGACCAGTGGGATGAAGAAGGCCACGAAGGAGCCAATCAGCATGAAGCGCTCCTCGTTGAGGACACAGCTGCCGTTGACGAAGACCTTGTCCTCGTTGTGGAGGCCGATCACCGGGATAGGCATCGACACACCTTGAGACGGAGAGATGAGGCGCTGTTACTTGTCATATTTCATTCAGGACCATCTCTTCCTGTTTTTTTGCAAAACACGACATTGTAGTATTGATCGAGAGCCCCCTGGTGGTGGAATCTACATATTGTACCTTTAACACCCTCAATATTGTAACATAACTCGCTCTATGATTACAGGAAAACGGCGCCCTGATCTTCAACACAATCCCAAACATTCCCTTGTTTGTTTGAAGGTGACGTAAAAATTTCACAAATGCAGAATTATTTCTCTGGAGATTGATTTAACTGTGAACTATTTAGTCAGACAGTAAAAGTTGTTTCTGCTTCATTTTATGGTTAAATTGACTTTAAACCAAACACAGGGGACATTTTACTCATTTAATCTAAAAATCCTGGCTGTAAATTGCTCAGTTGTTTCCACATAACGATCACAAGACACATTGGATTTTTCATTAAAAGCCAATTACTTCATTTTCCACCAATTCTCATGTGATTAGGTGTCTTCATGTTGTTCAGACCACATTTTCACTATCACAAGGGTGAGAAGTATCAGCAGCTTAACACACATTTAAAATTTAAATTTGAAAGCTCCACCTGCTATAAATCAGTTTGCAACTAGATTCTTTCATTGTGTAATGGATGTTCATGGAGTTTTAATAGCTGCTTTGGTGCTGTTAGAGGAAACTGGCTGACAAAAGACTGAGGTGAGAGCGAATCTGTCGAGGCTGAGCTGGTTTGGTGACCTATGATAATAACGCTGACTAATGTGCCGCTTCGGATTTCAAAAAGCTTTTCTGTTCAAAGTGCTCACTGACCTGGACTTGGCTGAGAACACTACACACACTGAGGACAAAAAACATCTCCAGGTTTTCTGCTCTAGGAGTGTTTCACAGACAGGACATCTCAGTCCCCCGCCCCCTCAGTGTGGGCTGATATAATTCATTTAGAGGGAAAGGCACATCATTTTCTCTTGCACAGCTGGTGACCGGGCCGACATCAAAACCCAATTTGGAGCAGAGGAGCTCCCTAATGCAATCGTTGCAAATGACTGAACTCACACTGCCCCGAGAGGATGAATTTGTTTGCATTAATTGGAAACATTTTCTTCAGTCGATGTCCGAATAAGTTGAGATGTGAAAACATTTCTGACTAATGAGTCCAGTCTACTAATGGTAGAGTCATGATTCATTCACACAGTTTCAAACGGTAAGTGCAGGAGAATTAAATGAGTTGGTTCACCCTGATTGCATAAAAGTAGCATCCTGTAAAAAAGTAGAGAGGCACCGATTGGGAAAATCAGGGCCAATACCGATAATTTAGCAGATTACCAATTCCACCATTTTCTCTCATGTTTGACAATGAAAACCAGTCAGATTTTGTTCAACAGGTGACTTCATCTGCCCAATGAAAAGCATGATCTCTGAATCAGTAATTAGGTGTACTGGACGCCAGCATTCAATTGATTTGGCACAATAACAATAAACAGTGGCCACTGACATCGGTTCATGCCACGTTATTTGCGGATGTGCTGATGTCTGCCAATGGGGCGAATATTGACCAACACCAATGCTGAACCGAGGCATCCATAGGAAGAAGTATATGTTGTAAGCTACCTGTTTTGTTATGTCTGTCCTTGACATTTCCTGAGTCGGATTTGAGGTAGGCCAAAAGTCATCAGTCGTAAGCAATTGGGACCAGCAGTCACACCAAAAGTTCTAAAGCTGCATGTAGGGAGCTGCTTTGTGCTTTCTCCACTGGAAAGAAACCCTGCAGCACTTAAACACAATTTCTCCGCCGGTATTCTCCCTAGTGGTCACTCCATGTTTTCTCCATTGGAAGGACTCTCTTGAGGCATCTTTTGGGGTTTCTCCACTGCATGGTCTCGCTACAGAGAAGTTATTCAACCTTCAACTCCACTTTGAAAGCACCTCACCAGGAACTATGTTCAATAATCCCCGCTGCAAGGACACACATGAGGGCATTCTATCATAATTAATCCATTGAAAGAGAAACCTGGTAGGAACAATCTTGTTTTCTCTCTATTGAAAGGTAACCCTAGAGAGCACCATTATTTATATTCCATTGGGAGGACACCAGAGGGAGCATTACTTTCGTTTCTCCACTTAAAGGGCAACAAAAAAGGGCGCTCTACCATATTTTTCAATTTGAAGGACACCCTGGACGTCACTCTTACATCTTTTCCAACCTGGCAGAGCACCCTACTGTTCATTCGAAGATGTTTTTTTACATTGGAAGGACACTCTTGAGGCATCTATTAAGATTTGTCCTCTGAAGCTTCGATTGTGTATTCGCCATGGAAGGACACATTTATGTTTTCCCCCATTGGAAGGACACCCCAGAGAGCCCTTCATCACATAAACACATAAGACATATAAACAGCACTTTACGACCCCTTTCCTACCAGAAGGGCATTCAAGGGAAGCAACACTTTGTTACAATTTCTCCACTGGAAGGGAAACCTAAAGGGCACATGGTCAACCTGAAAGGCGCCCTAAGGGTCACCTTATCACATTTACCCCTTTGGTAGGAAAATAAGGCCCCATTAGTCCACAGGTGCCAAACACAATAGTAGTAAGGACTTACTGTACATCATATTCACAGACGAAATAAATGTTCTGTTCTTTTGCATTTTGGAACAGTTTCTACTGGTTAACCAGAGAACTGGTGGCACTATATTGGTCATACTTTAAACTAAAACATGCAATCACTCCTAACACTTTGAATCAGAGGTAGAAATAGCATGTATATTGTATTTTTACACCAAACACATGTTTGCCTAATATTGTGTCATTTAAAGTGTAAATGCAGGAGATTTCATTCCCTCAGTGGGTAATATTTATCTGCCAAAGCCAAAGCCGCTCTCCTACTTTCTAACTCCACAGAGCTCACAACGGGAAAAATAACGTGGTATGCAAACGCACTGGCTCTGTGGCAGATCGCAGCTGGAGGTAGTACTGCCGGTGGAAGATTATTGCACCTGCAGAGGGAGATCAGGAAAATCATCGTATCAGCTGCTCTGAAATGTTTTCCTTGTGATTACGTCTATCTATTATAATCATTGTAGGCTATTCAGCATTAGAATATGTATTTTAATATAGTAACACTTCGAGAAAATATTTCCATATGATTAGACTCAACTTAAAATAAAGACAGCCATTGCAAATTCACTGTAAATAATACAAATGCACAGTTCATTTAAGATATTTAGAGATTATGGGAACACAATCAGGGACTGGATAGTGTTTTATAACGTTCATGCTGCTATCATACCGGACACACGTCAGCAGGAAACATTCTCTGAGTCACCAGAGAGATTGGCTGCAGGATTCTTCTGTTGGATGTTTCCTTGTTAATCCTCCGGCATGGATCGCTGTAAGCTCTCTCAGACCTCAATCACAGGGGTCAAGGAAATGCCAACAGTAAAGTGGGCAGATTTGTTATCATTCAAACGTAGCCAGTTGTGTAGGGCTGCAGAGGAAAAGGGAACTTCAGATCCACTTAATCTGTTCATGCATACTACAATGTTGTTTATGTCCTGACAAGACCAAGTTTCATCTCGGTGCGGCTACTATCAAGTAGCCTGACAATCAATTCTTCAAAACAGACATTGATTAGATGTGCCTTAGTGTCAGTACGATGGAGTTGGTGTGTTTTGAGAATTTTGGTCTGATATCCTGCAACTTAAATTGGATAATATAAGCTTGTGATAATACCCAACCAAGTGGGCAAACGTTTGTTTTACTGCTCATTCATTCAACTAATCCAATTCACTATTTCTTTCTTTTTTTAAAGGGAAGTTTATATATTTCAAGAATCAAACAATCTGGCTTTAAGGCAGTTTCAAAAGGTTTGCTGAACAGATGTTCCCAGGGTAGTAAACATGTCTGCCAGGCGGGATGATTTGCTTCTGAATGGAGAGAGTAATTATAGGTTTTAACATGCACAACACAAAGGGAATAAATAATTACATCCAGCTGCTGTTTTCCTCATGTAGACCAGTCAGGTGAATCTAAAGGAAAGCTGTGATTCACCTCAGTGCTTTCATCACCTTAAAACCATTGGGGTCACGAAGGGAAGGTGAGAATAAATGAGAGAAAATGGGGAATAATGAAGGTTATTTTCAGCACTGATTCCACTGAGACATGGCCTGGCATGGTCATCGGCTGCTTTTGCAGTCTAGATGGACTTCTCAGCTGCCACGTTGGTTAACTCAGCCCTTGATATGCAGAAATGTAGACGGCTTAAGCAAGACTTGAATGTGTCGGAAGTAACATTTAATCAAACAGCAACAACATGACTCCCTCCCCCACTCCTATCCCACAATCCAAAAACTAAGGATAAAATAACTAGATAAGAACAGGTACTGAGGAAACCTGACTTGGATATGTCCCAAATGACTCAAAGGCAGCTTTTTTGACAACTTCAATATAAGGTAATGTAAATGACCACTTGTTTGCATTTCAAATGTTATGGCGAAAGATGAAACGGTTTTGTCTAGATTGGTACTAGAGGTCTGAAGAAGGGGCAGAGGAGGGAAGCAATGAAAAGGCAAAGAAAGGCACAGAACATCTCTTCTGTTGGGGTTTCCTTTCTAATTCTTGATAACAGAAGACCCGGGAGGACCTCAGTCAGGCAGAACCTTCTAAGGCAGGCTTTCACCCAATGTGGGGTGGCATGGAATTCAAATGGGGTCATTGAAATGTATAATTATTGAAATATATTGGCACATTCTGCCTTAATTAAGCTACAAGATGTTAGCCAGTTCAGCAACAAACTACTCTGGGCTGTAGCCCATGCTGAGGGGTCTTGTGTTCTGAAGGGTCAAGAAATGCCATGCGAGGAAGTTGGCTCACAACCTGGTCTCTTTATGTGTCAATCATCTCCATCTATCAATGCTGCTTTTGAGAGGTAATCTCGTACATCATGATCACTTACTAACAGTAGGAAGAACAGTTATTTCTCACCATTGGGTGCCACTGATGATAGGAAATATATTCTAAAAGAGCTTCATGGAAGGAATATCTCACTCTACACGTCCCTTTTTAAACAGATTGTACTTTTGGAATGGCTACCTTGAGGTAGAAATAAGATTTCTGTAATGTAACTCCAAGTTCACTGGGTTAGCTTTCATTATATCAGACGGGGAAAAAAAACAAGATTCAACTGATGGAAGAACATTTAGATGGGTACATTAAATGCTGGAACAATTCAGTGTATCCTGGGGGGCGGTTATAAGTGAATGCAATGACTTTACACAGCGCTATATTTACTGTGAGGTCAGAGGATGTTAGGCTAATAGTACACTCAGGTAATCTGTGTGTGCGTAAGTGTTTGTGTGTCAGTGTGTTGATGTGTGTACTTGTTAAGATACGGGGAGCCCTCCTGGGTCTTAAAGGGCACGAGGCAAGCCGGAGGTCAGACAGACAGACACAGAGAGGGCTGAGAGGAAAGTTTTAAAAGTCAACCCGATCCCCTTAAACACTTTACTCAGAGGGAGGCACTACTTCACCCCACAGGACACACACTCTACAAACTGATTACCCCGGGATATGACACAGTCGATAAAAATGTTCTAAAAAGCACAGATGGGAGGATTTGGAGACCAAATGATTGTGCAAATTTAAAGAAGTAACTTTTTTATCTATTTAAAAGTTTAGTAAAGCTATATGAAAATCACACGTGTCTGGGGTTTCCACAATGCTCGTCGGTGAGTACAAACAACACATTGACCTCACAAAGCCTGGTTGTACGGCTGCTATTTTATCACACATGAGCAAAACGGGGTCCACATGAACGCTCAATGCACCGTTGAGTTGAGAAAAAGGAAAGCAGACGACCAAACAGGATTTCTAAAAAGAAGACTTGCATCAGACAACATCAGACGGCTTCTTAACATTATTCATGCATCAGAATCAAATGAGGTACCTGCTGCGGTTTTTATCTTAGCTGCGCAAAAGGCCTTTGACAGGGTGGGTTGGGATTATCTATGGGCTGTTCTTGAGGAGTTTGGATTCTGTAGAAAATGTATATGTATGATAAAAACGCTTTATACCAATCCTTATGCAGTCGTTCAAACAGATAACATCCTGTCTACACCGTTTCCCTTACGGCTCGGTACCCGTCAAGGTTGCCCGCTTCTCCACTCCTTTTTGCGTTATCACTGGAACCGTTGGCTCAGGAAATTAGACTGAATAACCAGATATCACCTATCAGTATACAAGATACAAAACACAAGATCTCCCTATATGCAGATGATGTATTATTGTTCTTCACTAATATTTCCAGCTCATTATCTTGTATATTAGAAGTCTTAAGCAAGTTCAGTCAATTTTCTGGTTATAAAATTAACTGGGATAAATCTTTACTTATTCCTCTAAATGTTTCAGCAAAGCAGCTCTCCTTACCAGCTATTCCACATATACAGTGGCATGACTCTAGCTTTATATACTTGGGTTTGAATATAACCAAATTCTCAGACATATCACATGCAAACTACGATAAACTTAAAGCTGAAATTTTATCTGATATCCAAAGGTGGTCTAGTTTGAAAATGACATTGCAAGGTAGAATCTCAATTGTGAAAATGAATATTCTTGGCCGACTGAACTTTCTATTTTCCATGATCCCTTTACCTCCACCACCTAAATACTTTGACGATTTACAAGCAATGATTTCTAAATTCATCTGGGATAGCAAAAGACCTCGCATTAGGTTGAAAACACTTTAACGTTCAAAAACCACTGGAGGTCTTGCGCTTCCCGATTTTGAGCTTTATTTCTGGTCCTTTCGGATTAAATCATTAAAAACATGGTGTAATGAGGAAGCCACTACATCTTGGCGTCAAATAGAACAGGCACTAGTCAAACCACATAGAATTACACATGTGATGTTTTGTGGGATGAAACCTAGAACAGCAGGTAGAGTGTTTGGACCAATTATAGGGACCTCACTGCAAATCTGGTCGGATGTTCAGAAATATATGGATTGTGATATTAAGTTATGTGACCCCTCTCCAATATGGTACAATTACAATCTACTACAGAACTCTGGCTCATTCTTCAATAAAAGCTGGGCCGCTGGGGGAGTCCATAGACTCAAAGATCTGTACAGCAGAGATGGCCTGCTTTCATTTCAACAGCTTAAGGACCGATATTCCCTCCCTAGGTTTTCTTGGTTTTTGTATTTACAATTGAGATCAGCAATTCGTGCCCATGGAGTTCCATGGGATTTACCTTTATCCTCTCATCCACTGGATACTTGGATTAACCCCCAGAAAAAGACTACGGGACTAGTGTCTACCATATATAACGATTTAATCTCCAAAAGTGCCAAAACTCTGGGGGTGACCACATCCTGGAACCGGGACCTTGAAGGACAGAACCTTGTACTACACTGGGACATTATTTGGACCAATATATTTATTTCATCAAAAAATCCAGCACATCAACTCATTCAATTTAAATTTGTACATAAATATTATGCAACATCATATAGGCGCTTCAAAATGAAGCTTATAGACCATCCAAACTGCACTAAATGTAATCTTGACGTTGTTGGTACATACCTCCATGTTTTCTGGGAATGTCCTTCAGTTTCCACCCTTTGGTCTAAGGTGACTAAATGTCTTGGAAAATATCCTGAAATTCCCAGTTCCCAAACAGCCCTCCCTACTGTTATTTAATGATGGCTTTGCTCTCAGGGATAACACCAGACTGGCCTTTAGGAAAATTATCTTTGCAAGCTCAACTGCGGTAAAGAAGACGATAATATATTCCTGGTTCTCTGTTGAATCTCCATCGATAAAGGAATGGTTTAACTATTTTAGAGACATCTCTCTTATTGAAAGATCATTAGCTGTAATTCATAAGGCACGGGCATCCACTTTACAGACTTGGGAGTTCTTTATTTCAACTCTTTCAGATCCACTTTTTCTTGAACAAATATAACCGGTATTATAAACAAAATGTAGATTTACACTTTTTGTGAAATTGTTTGATTTAATTATTATTATTATTTTCAATCTGTTTATTTGTTTTAGTTTTATTTATTGAGCTGTGTCTATAGATTTTATTTTGTGTGCATATGTGTGTATGGGTATATATATATATATATATATATATATATGTATGTTTATGTGTATGTACATGCATATCATAATTTCATTCAGTAATTTTGTCTTTGTTTCAAATGTTATGTATAGTTTTCCTCATCAAGGCAACGGCGATCTGTAAATAGTTTGTATGTTTGATGATGCTGTCTTTGGTTTCTGTCATTGAAGCTCAAAAATTTCAATAAAAAGTTGATCACAAAAAAGAAAAAGGAAAGCAGTAGCTCGGTGACAGGCATCCGTCCATGGCAGACGTGCCGCTCAAACTAACTCCAAGGATAAAAACAGGGGGCCGTCTAGTGACACCGCTCCACTAGTCACTTAGCAACACAGCATGTCTTAAAGGCACGTTCCACAATTTCAACTGTTACATATTAAAAGCTGAAAGCAAAAGGCATGATAAAAGTGCTATGCAAATCTAGGCTATAGATCCTATTGAACTGACCCTTTAAATCTCCATCATGTCTCACATTGACTCTTAACCCTTCTGCTTGCATCTTTTAATCAGCTGAGCTCAGCTACATTAGTCGAGAGCCTTAAAATTCATCAGCAGAGGTGCTCCGGCATCAAAGGAAAAAGAGGTGAGGAGTGTCTTCAAAATCAATCTGTTTTCCCTCTTGACAGAATGACTCTGAAGGGCCCATTCATGCAAATGTGGCCATGATTGATTAGGCGTAATCTACTTGATGATGTTTGAGACTCATCAAACTGACTCTTCTCGAGGAAGTGTGAGGGATGTGTTTCTGACCTATAGATATGGTCCAGACAGCGGCGATCTTCATCATGGCTTTGGTTCTGGAGTTGAAGCGGCTGTGCTCGATGGGGTTGCGGATGGCAACGTATCGGTCCAGGGAGATGGCACACAGGTGCATGATGGAGGCGGTGGAGAACAAGACGTCCAGGTAGATCCAGATGGGACACAGAGCGCTGGGGAGGGGCCAGGCATAGTCTGGGGGAAAGAAAGAAAATGAGGGGAGAGAAGGAAGGAAAGAGGTTAGAATGAAAGAGGAAGTCATAAAGGCGTAATTATGACATTTTCTCCTGTAAGTGGGAAATTTAGGATCTTCTTCAAATTATGATTAGTGCACGCTCTACAGTGTACTATGACACGAGTGGAATAACCCTGTTTGAGAACCTTTTGCTGCATGATCAGGTGCAAGCAGGGGCATGTCCAGACTTTTTTGAGTGGGGTGGCCCAACTGGGGTACTGACTTCTGCAAGTTTGTGTGGGGATTGCCTGTTCCAACATCGCCCCAAATACTTGATTTAAACATCTGACAAGGCAAACAGCCAATCATAGTTTAGGATTTTGGGGTGGCACCTGTTTTACACCCTATGATTTTGACGGCATCACATTGCATTGGTTTAAGATGGATCTCTTAATGTTTTATTCACTACAAAGATTATTGCCCAGTCTACATGTTAGTTTTCTGGTTTCCTAACCGATTTATCGGCCGGGCGTTAATATCGGCCAATATAAGCATATCCTGTGACTATGGGTATCGGCTAATTTTATCATAGATATGCGCCGATATTACTAGATTTATTTACCAGTCATAAAACATTTAATTTCAGTTTCATTGTATTACACTAGCAGTACTCCGGAGTGTCAAGCGCTGATGAACGTAGATTGCGCAGTTACTTTCCAGTTGAGTGATTGTTATACTGTACATCTATTCCACAAGTGTTTGAAAACTGCATGTGAGGGATCAACAAAATAAATGTGTATACCTATATCTATCTATCTCTAAAGATGGAAGATAGATCAAAAAGAGATATTGGCCAATATATCGGTATTGGAGAGTGTTTTTCCCCAAAATCGGTATCGGCCCCAAAAGGATCAAATCAGTTGGGTCCTCGTTTCTCTCTGCTGCTGTTTCTGCACTGTTGTTTTTTTTTAAAGTCAGTGATGTGGATATGTCCAATCTGTTCCGAGCGCTCGACTGACTAAATGTCATCAGGCCCAGCAGAGTCTGAAGGCTTTAGATGCACCAAGCAGAGGTCGACTTAACTTTAATTAACGAGAGGACCTCACAGCACATTACCCGGATCCCACGAGGAGTCAGGGTTAATGCAACAGTTTGATTACAATGTTTACAAAGGTTTGAAGGTGACACCATGACCGTTATGATGAAGATGAATTACACGAGTGGACATGTCTTTGGTCAGAGATTAAAGGTGTAGATTAGTTAATGACATGTAAGCATCGGCAGCAGGGTGGTGAGTGTTTGTACGTTCCTGTACGCTGGATGAACACGGTGAATATTTATAAATGGAAAAGATGAGTCAAGCTCTGCTGAGTCTCAGGCTTTGTTTGACGGAAGTGTTTGTAGCTTGTTTTGTCAAAGACTCAAGGTTTGATGCCTCCTGCTGACTTAGATTAAAAAACTGACAAGACAATGAAAAAAGGATTTGACAAAAGGGGAATAATGAATACCAACGTTGATTAAGGCAGGTTATAAAGATTGACAGATTGTGTACTACAATGCTACACCCACACAGGGGAATGACTCATTAAATCACATTTAGCATCTGTAAAAGATGTAAAATGTGAGACACAGCCTGTACATATTATTCAAATGAGTTCTATACACCTAGAATCATGAACTTGGAGCTCTCGGGTACAGTTACAACTGCATATTTTCAACTTGTTTACACTGCAGCAGTGAGAATGTTAGCTTGCTGACATTAGCATTTAGCTCGAGGCAGAGCTGTGCAAATGTGAGAATATGGTTGTATATGTCGTCTGTGTGCCATGTTTTTATGCATATCTATGAGCAGATTCCTTTAGAGGCTTTTGCTGATTATTTCAGGGGTATGGAGAATTTTAGATGTCATAAAACAGAGGGAGGAAATCTGAGAATATACCATTTTATTGTTAGCAAACAGTGTTGCCATACATGTTAGCCAACGCTAGCTAGCAAGTTGATTTTGGCCGACATTCGACATACTTTTTGCCAAAGGATAACAGTTAAAAATTTAAAGGTTGAAAATCTCTTCACACACCAGAGTGAGTGTTATACTTGACATAACACTTCATTAAACCCCAGTAAAACAGTCATTTAACTCCCAGCAGGAAACAGAAGCAGACATTTTTTTTCCATCCCCCTCGAGTCAAATCCTTCTTTGTCCCGCTCCACAGGGAGGTCAAAAGTCCCAGCGAGTGACAGCGTGATACCCTGTAGAGCTGGTTTTGACTCAGTGTCTTGGCTCATCGCTCTGCAGGAGGGAGCAAGCTTGGGTCACGGGGAATAAAATCTGTCTCGACTATCTCAGAACTGGGCCAGTGGGACGCCATCGCCGCAGCAACAGAATAACACAGCAGGGAGCGTTCACACTGAGAGACTAATCGATTCAATGGGTTAACCTTTGCTTAGACTGGGGTAAATTAATTAGCTTAATTGGCTAGTTGGCTGCTTGGCAGGCTTAAATGATAGCATGGCGCTGTTTGAGCCTCCAGCAAAGAGGGGTACACTGGGGAAAAAAGAAGATATTCAAGCATATGGCTGCAAAAAACTTCAAAATATGATATATTTTCTGATTATGTGGAGTTCTAGAAATTGGAGGTGACTCGTGTGAAATACAGAAGCAGAAAGCTTTAAAGAGGACTCAAAGCTCACAGCTTAAAGGAAATATTTTCCTTTGTTTCTAGAAGGTCCCCCCCCCCCCCCTAAAGTCTAACTTGTAAGGAATAATATAAAAATGAAAGTGAAATGTAACTGAAGGTGCTCCTCTGTTTTATTTCCAGCTGTGTCAGCTTTGTGAAGAAGCTGCACACCGCAAAGTCTCTCTGTCTTTCTTCGCCGGCAGCTATTTCTAAGAAGTCGTTTTCTACAGAGGACAGGACCTGAGGAAAAACACACAAACACATGAACGCACGCGCACACACATACACACACAGACACACACACGTGTTCACTTCTTGTTTTTATTTATAATTCGCAGCATGAGCGGGACATACGTAATGCATGTAGAGTGAATCACACACTTGTTTGTATGTGTGTGTGTGTAAAGTAGGAGGCAGCTTGCACAAGTTTTCAGAGGACAAACATCCATTGGGGCTACTGCATGATGACACACACACACACATGGACGAGGTGTTACTCAGCTGGCTCAGGGGTGTGTTGGATGTGTGATGCATGTGTTTATGAAATGCATCAAAAACATTCAAACGTTTTGTAATGAGGGAGATTTTTAGGAAACCGGACTTCAAGAGACTGAAATGTGTTGCATGAGGGGTTTCAGGTGATGAATCTTTTGAGCGCAAAATCATCAATGGAGATGCCGAGCTATAATGTAGCATGTGATGGCTGCAATGGGCCTCAGTTTTCATGTTTGTCCCTATAGAGCACAGGGGCAGGTCAGTTGGATCCATTTGGGAGTGTCCTTCATTAGCATATCGTCGTTGTGTGCCATTTCAAATGAAATGTATGGATTGATGTGTGGATGTATGTGTGGGTGTTGATGGATGGGTGGATGGATGAGTGGATGGATGGGTGGATGGATGAATGGAGGAATGGATGGGTGGATGAATGGAGGAATGGATGGATGGATGGATGGATGTATGGATGAATGGATGGATGGATGGGTGGATGGATGGTTGTGTAAATGGATGTATGGATGAATGGATGGATGGATGGGTGGATGAATGGAGGAATGGATGGATGGATGGATGGATGGATGGATGGAGGAATGGATGGATGGATGGGTGGGTGGATGGATGGATGGATGGATGGGTGGATGGAAGGATGATGGATGGGTGGATGGGTGGATGGATGGATGAATGGAGGAATGGATGGATGGATGGATGAATGGATGGATGGGTGGGTGGATGGATGAATGGGTGGACGGACAGACGGACAGACGAACGGATGGATGGATGGATGGATGGATGGGTGGGTGGGTGGGTGGACAGACAGACGGACCACTGGATGGGTGGACGGACGGATGGATGGACGGATGGATGGGCAGATGGATTATACCTTTCATGCGGCCATTGATTAAACTCTTACATTTTTTTAAATGGTTTAACTTAGTCATAAAGCTGGCAACACTGATGCCAAAAAACGAAAGGAATGCAAACAACGTGGAATCCTTCGTAGACCTGAGCATCTCATTTCTACTCAGCCTGAGCGGTCTACGTAGCCTACAAAGGCAGGGACCTTCAAGGATGCTACCTTCTGAATTGGGACCGCTAATGTTTACAGTGTGACTAGGAACACGAGAAGTGGGAATGAAGTTTGAATTGAGGGATGACATCTCAAACCTTTGGGAGTTAAATATATCAGAGAAGAAACAGCTAACAGGTCAGATGTTTTTTTGCCATCTTAAGGAATCTTTGTTTCTGAAAGTTAACTGAGTCTCCATGAGGAGAATCTGTTCTTCTTCACATTCTGAGCGGCTGACAAGCCACTGAGGACTCGGCATTGTTCAATTTACCGCATTGTTTGAACGTAACGATCCCTTTTTTTTTTCCTCGCTCTGTTTCTCATTGTATCTCTTATTACAGCCCCTCTGTGTTTGCAACGTGCATCCCAATTCATTAAAGCAAAGATGACACATCTCAGATTAATCCCCTGTCAGAGATGTGTGTTCGTCTATGTGTGTATGTATGTGTGTGTGTGTGTGTGTGTGTGTGTGTGTGTGTGTGTGTGTGTGTGTGTGTTTCTGCAAGTGTGTTTTGTCAGGGACTGTCTGTTTCCAATTTGGGCCCCATGCAGGGAGATAGCCTTCAGTGATAACTTTGATTGAGTTGGCCTTGAAGGTCCTTTACTCCAAGGCTGTGTGTGTGTGTGTCTGTGTGTGTGTGTGTGTGTCTGTGTGTCTGTGTGTGTGTGTGTCTGTGTGTGTGTGTGTGTGTGTGTTATCCGACAGAGTCTAAAAGATTTAATCTCCTTCTCTCCTCCTTTTCTCCCATCTGAGTTTCTTCATCTTCCTCTTCTGATCTAG